TTTAGGGGCGCCTGGGTGGCTCAGTGGGTTAAAGCCTATGCCTTTGGCTCAGGTCATGATCCCAGGGTCCTGGGATGGAGCCCTGCATCAGGCTCTCTGCTCAGCAGGGAGCCTGCTTCCTCCTCTCTACCTGCTTCTCTGCCTGCTTGTGATCTCCGTCTATCAGATAAATAAATAAAATCTTTAAAAATAAATAAATAAATACGCTGTTTTAAGCCACCATATTTGTGGTAATTTGTTACACCAGTAATAGGAGATTAATACAGTATGAAGAAAAGCCACAGGACATGCTCAGGCTGTCCTCTTGAAATGGAAAAAAACCTCTGAAGAATAAGTCAACTGAGATCCTCGGTTTATAATTTATGACCATCCCAGGCCACCTTGCTGAGGGAAGCTCTATGGGAGGCCATATTCTGCACCATGTCCCCTCATTCCCCTGCCTACAGGATAGCCAAGACCGGTGAACCCTGCCTGAATCATCTCATTTATTCTTCACAATAATCCTGCGAAGGCGCCTGCTACAGTTGTCTCCATTTTACAGGTGAGGAAACCGAGGCAAAGAGAGGCGAAGTATCTCTCCCAGAGAAAGATACTGGATAGATCTTTCGTGCATCTAGTAAGCACAGATCCAAGATTTAAATGCAGATTCTTAATCACTGTGCTGTTTAAATTAAAATGGTACTTTTCACATTCTTCGAGAAGTTTAAAAAACATCTGCTGGAATGGTGGGATCATGTAACAAATACAGCCAACAGCTGTTCCGCATTTATCAACATCTGTTAATGGTGGGCGGGGAAGTGCCCAGGTGGCTTGAGCAGCCCATCAGCCCCAAGAGCTCTGTGTGTTGGATCTGCTTAGGTCCGTCTCATAGAGGGAATGGGAAATGTCAATTCATCTGATAAGGCTAGCAAGTGGGCATTTTCCGTGCAAAGACAGGAGCCGCAGAAGCTGTAGAACCCTCCATCAGGGAGCAGTGGGCTCCTGCTGCTGAGGGGCCTTTCTGTCACTTCTCAGGCTCGGTGGGGCCTGGAGGGCTGCAGAGCCGTTCTTCCTGGGAAGCCAGATGCCCCCCCCCCCACCAACCCTGTGTTTCCGGGTTCCAGTGAAGCCACTCCCACTCTCAGTCCCCTTATTTCCAGGTGTCAGGTCACAAGTCACTCCCCTTTGCCTGAGAGGTCTGGCGCGTCTGTTGTTCGCAGTGCAGATCACTGAGCTCCTTCCACCCACTATAGGCGGCCCCTAAGGAATCATCCCGCCTACCATAACGGGCACCTCCCTGGGGTCCAGGACACCTGCCCACATGCCCACCACGTCTGGTTCCTTCTAGGACCTACCCCAGGTCACCTCCTTGCTTTTGAGATGACATTCTTGTAGATGTCATGGGAACCTGCTCCGTGCTTCCTGAAAGCTGAGTACGATAAAATCAACGTGGTGTAAGCTTTCTTAATTACAATCAAATCCCAGCCCTGTCTTCCTGAGGTCAGCATCTGATCCCCCCTCGGTCGGAATTGGATTTGGAGTTTTCCTAAAACTCTTCAATCACAGCCAACTTTGAGTTGGTGTTATTTCAGCAGATGTCTGGATCCACCCATGACAATTTGATTTTTTCTAATTCTCTCCAGCATTTAAACATGTACAAGTATGGGTTTTGTTTTTCTTTCTTTTTTTTTTTTTTGCCACAATCCAAGATTTTAAAAATGCATTTTAGGGGCCCCTGGGTGGCTCAGTCGTTAAGCATCTGCCTTCAGCTCATGCCTTCAGGTCATGATCCCCGGGGGCAGGGGATTGAGCCCCACATTGGGCTCCCTGCTCAGCAGGAAGCCTGCTTCTCCCTCTCCCACTCCCCCTGCTTGTGTTTCCTCTTTCACTGTGTCTCTCTTTGTCAAATAAATAAATAAATAAATCTCAAAAAAAAAAAAATGTGTTTTATATGACAAGCCAGTACACATGTATATAAAATTGAAAAGTTTCACCACACTCCAACACTTTCTATTCTTTTTCTTTTTAAATGTTGGTCTTGACCCAGTAATTTATATCACAAAGCTTCCATACCTATTGCTTGAAAATTACTGGTTTAGTTTCGCCTTTCTCCAAAATTTCACTTCTCAAATGCAGGTCTTCCTTTGCTCTGGTTCTTTCTTTTCTATGCTCAAGTATCTCAAGAGAGTAATCCACTCTCCACTCCCTCACCTGGGCTCACTCTTCAGAAGCAGTGTTTTTGTCTCTGACACTGCCCTGCCCTGAGGAGACCCTTCCCTTAGTCTCCCTGGTCTTCCTTGTTGATAGAGCCCAGATTTTCCAACTGTTATCTAACCTATGCTCCCAGCATCCTCTGGTGTGGCCACCACTCCCCCTTGAAAATTTTCTCTTGCCTTGCCTTCCTGAGGCAACTCCAAAGCTTTCGTCTGTTTCTGGGTAGTGATATCTTTCCTCTGGGATAATAAGTGCCACTGAGTGAAAGGGAGAGAAAGCAAGAGGTATAAACAATGTGTGTATATGTGCGTCCATGTGTGGCGGGCAATGGCGTTGAGAAGCCTGCACAAAATTTGCAACAGACATTGTGGTTGGTTCTCAGTGTCTATCCCATATCAGATGATTAGCCCAAGCTAATCAGATGATTAGCTTTCCCTGGCTACTGTTACTATATATTCCAAGATTGGGCACAACAGTGGCCTTAGCCAGATAGTGTAAAGCAAAGAACTTATATCTCATACCTGGGAGGAGGTTTTTGTCTTTTCTCCATTGGATGTGAAGAGGGAAGTATCGCGCAGGAGCTGCTGACAGCCATCTTGGGACCATGAGGAGAACTATCTCAAGGACGAAGGTTCAAGAGGAAGGCTGAGTACAACCTTGACCAGAATCTAAGTCCTTGATGACATCATTGAACTACTGAATCAACAGTCCTCAGCGCCTGCCTACCACTGGCTCATTACATGAGCTATTTCTTTCTTTTTCTTAAAAAAAATGAGATTTAAAAAAAAAATGAGATATAGATATCTAGCATCCTGATAGATTCAGTTTCTCAAAATATCCCATCACACCTGAACTCCAGACCTATGGATCTGCCTGCCTGTCAGCTCTTCCTCTGGGCTGTTCCAGAGCATCTCACACTCAGTAGGCCTAAAACGGACTGTTGTCTGGGCCCCCTCCTCCCCTCCTCTCATCTTCCCTATTTCTGTGAAAGATCCACCATCTGCCTGACTCAAGCCAAAACCTTCGGTCATTGCTATTTATTTCCCTTCGGCCCCCCAGAGGCACTGTCTCCTTAGGTGTTGCAGAGTCCCCCCCTCCAATATTTCTCAGATCCACCCATGTCTCCGCTCACTATCACCTCTTGCCTGTTTCACTGCAAAAGCCTCTACCTGGTTCTCCACCTCCTAATGGCTTCTGCACACCATGGCGGGAGTGATCTGTCTCAAATGAGAATCTGAATACTTCCCCCTCTGATGAAACCACGTTTTTTCCCCTTTCCTTAGGATGCATTTGGAAAGCCTTCATATGGCATGTGAGGTCCTGCACGACCCAGCCCTTGTGTCATCTTTCCAACCTCAGTGCCATTCCTCCTTTCTGTCCTTTATTCCAGATGAGAGAAGTACTTCCAGTTCGCAAACTGGCTTTCTGTCACCTCCCAATGGACTTACCTGCCTAGAAAGGCCTCTTCCTCTCCCTGCTTTCCCTGAAGAATTCCTGCTCATTTTAGTGCTCAGTATGGTGGGGCCACCTTCGGGAAGCCGTGCCTTTACTGTGAGGCTGGGTTAAACGCTCTTCCTCATGTCCCCACAATGTCATCTTCTTTCCCAGTCATAGCACTCTTTACAAGGCTGGAACAACCTGCTGGTAAGTCCCAGACTGGGGGCTCCTTGAGAGCAAGGACTCTGGCTTACTTCCTGCATGTAGCACAATAATTGAGTGAAAAAGATCATTTTAAACAACTCAGAGGGGCACCTGGGTGGCTCAGTGGGTTGAGCCTCTGCCTTTGGCTCAGGTCATGATCTCAGGGTCCTGGGATTAAGCCCCTCATGGGGCTCTCTGCTCAGCAGGGAACATTCATCTACTCCCACCCCGCCTGCCTCTCTGCCTACTTGTGATCTATCAAATAAATAAATAAAATCTTTAAACAAACTCAAATGGATTTTGACTTGAAGGCGAGGGCAGGATGGAGTAGAGTTAGAGGGCATTGTAGAAGGAGACATTTTCAAGCGGGACAGGAGTGATGGTGGCAGAGTCTGATTTGCTAGGCAAGAGTGTCAAGTAGGTTTAGGTGGGTGGCAGGGCTAGGCTAGGGGAAAGAGATCAGTGAGGGAGATAATGGACCCAGGCAAACAGTGGGTGGACTAGGGTGGTGGCAGTGGGGACAGGGAGAACAAGACTTGAAAGAGTTAAGAAGTAGAATTTACAGAATTGGTGGGTAGGTGAAGAAAAGAAGGGGTAGAAGATGAGGTGTTCTAATTAGGCAGTCTCGTTCCCCTTAGTGGTAACCTCTTCTAGAGTGGGAAACCCCAAAGGAAGAACACGATGGCAGGTAGAGAGGGAAGTGCGGAGCGCTGTCTGGACACGCTCAGCTTGAGGGGCTAGGGTGCACCCAGAAGGCACCTGGACATTCAGGGCTGCCGCTGACACACAGAAGTTGAGAAGCAGCGGATTTAGAACTAGGAGAAGGATAGAGGAGTCACAGATGCCAAGATACGGGATGCAGGAAAGAAAGGACTAGAGACAAAGGGAAAATACTGCTGAGCCCCATCCCCACAGCCACCCCCACTTCCATAGAGACAAACGCACTGGAGAGGTTTCTCTTAACAGCAGTTTTATTTGATTCAAAAGTGGAACTCAGATCCCGGCCCACTCCACTGGTCATGGGATAATGACTAGATCTGGAGATCGCCGGCCTCTTACTAGGATTCGATAAGGGGATATATAGATCATATATAGGGCATATAGGTCACAGATACGTGCCAGGGCAGGAAGAAAAGGGCCAGCTATGGCTGGCTGGGTAGGGCTTGGCCACAGGCCAGGGAAGGGGTGACTTGTGGCATCTCTTAGACACATGCAGAGCCAGAGAGGACTAATTCAGTACTGGTGTTGGGGTCTGGGACTTGGAATAGGGCTAGGGCAGGGTCAGGGAGCTCTGGACCAATGGGTTCAGTAGCTGTGAGTAGAAGACTTGTCCAGCTCACTGCGCTGCTCCTTCTGGGACTCAGTCACCACCTGTTGGGGCAAGGCATGTGAAGGGCACAAACCACTCAGCACAACCCTCCTGCGATCTCCTTTGGCGTATGCTGTCTCCTTCTCCAGCAAAACCAGCGGAGGCTCCTGACTGACCATCCACCTCCTCTCTGTCCCTCCTGCTCCAAAGACCACTAACCCACAATACTCTAAAATCAGCTGCAGCCAGGTTGGGGCCTAGAAGTAGTATGGCCAATGATGGGGTCCTGGGTTCAAGTGGTCCATCTCACCTCTCCGTCCCGTGTCTCAATGGTCTTGATCAGAACCATCTTCCTGCTGTGGCTGTCCTGAGGAGGCTCCACCTCAGGTACTGGAAAAAGCAGGATGAAGGGGTAGAAGAGAGGATTGTGGTGTCTCTCCTTCTAAGCCCTGCCTCTCATCTATGAGGGAAGGGGAGGGGAGTGGCAGGGCATGAGAAGCAGGCCTGAGTATAGACTAGGACCCAGCAGTTCATGGACAGAATCGATCCCTGAGCAGGGGCAGAGCAAGAGTCTGGTCAGGGCAGAAGTGGACAAGGGGACAGGGAGGTTGGAAGCCAGGCATGGGAGACTCACCAGTCGTCTTTATACTCAAGGATGCAAAAGAATGGATTGGCACAGAGATCCTGGGAGTGAAGCCAGGGGTGAGCGACTCGGCCCAGGCCCCACCCCTTCCCTAAACGCCCAATCCCCACCATCCTCCCACCCCCAGCAGCCCTGTCCCCTACCTGCTCTCCTCGCCCTCCAGAAGCTTCCGGTAGGTGGCGATCTCAATGTCCAGGGCCATCTTGACGTTGAGGAGCTCCTGGTACTCGCGCAGGTGCCGTGCCATCTCCTCCTTCAGCTGTCGCAGCTCCTCCTCGAGCCTCGCGGCGCCTGCCTGATACCCGCCCGCCTCCAGGGCAAACTGCTCCTCTAACTCCCGCAGCTGTCTGAGCAGCGCCTCGTTCTGGGGGCAGCAGGGGGTCACTGGGGGAACAGCCTCCACCCCCACCCCCGCCCGGGGCCCGAAGCCCGAAACTCACAGTGCCGCGCAGCCCGTCCACCTCACAAGTCAAGCTCTGTATCTGGCGTCGGGACTCGTTCATCTCCTGCTTGGCCTGACGCAGGGCCTCGTGGTTCCGGTTGGCGGCGTCGGACAGGTCCGCGTACTGCGGCGCGCGAGGCAACCCAGACGTGAGCTGGCGGGACGCGCCCTCCCCGCAGCGCCCCACTCGCCCAGATCCTCCCTCACCCTCCCGGGCTCTCGCACTTTGGACTTGTACCACTCCTCTGCCTCCTGCAGGTTCTTCGCTGCGATGCTCTCGTACTGGGCGCGGATGTCCCTCAGCGCCGCCGTCAGCTCCGGCTTCACGGTGGCCTCCACCTCGACCTGCTGCACCTGCTGGCTCTCCACGCTCACCTGCAGGTCTCGCAGCTCCTGTCGCCCAGGACAACAAGTTGTTGAGGTTGCCGCGCGGATTGCACGCGGGCCTAGCAGTTCGCTCAGAAAAAAGAAACACTCGAACGAACAGATGGGGGCGCCAGGGAGCGCAGCGCACTTGGTCTGCGCGTCCAGCGCCCCGGTCCGCTCCAAGGCCGCGGCCAAGTTCCAGGGTGCAGCTCCGCTGCTCGCCACCAGGTGGCGCAGGGGTGGGAGTCAAACCACCTGTAGAGGGGTGTTAAGGGGTTGCGTCTACCCAGCGAATCTCACTTCTCTTCCCCAGGCCAATCCCTCAGCTGCAGTCTTTGCCGCCGCCTGCGTTTCAGCTCCAATGCGACCACCTGCAACCTTCGAAGCCTGCCCTGACCCTCGGTCCACCTACCTCCTCATGTAGCTTCTTGAGGAACTCAATCTCATCCATCAGAGACTCGATCTTGCGCTCTAGTTCCAGGCGGGACAGAGTGGCGTCGTCCACGTCCTTAAGGGGGTGACCGAGGGGGTTGAAGAGCAGGGAGGGGCTGCTCAGGCCGGGGAAGGGCCAGGCCCTCCCTGCCTGTCTCTGGAAGCTTCTGGTCGCCTCCTGGCGCCCACCCATGTCATCCAAGATACGCAGGCGGGGGTAGACGTGGGGAGACTGGGTGACGTGGGGCCCGGGCTCACCTTGCGGAAGAGCACGAGGTTGTGCTCCGCGTCCTCCCTCTTGCGCGTCTCCTCCTCCAACCTGGCAAGAAGGGTGGGCAGAGGCTGAGGGGCAGGGTCATCGCCCAACCATCGGGCCACGCACCCCAGGGTCTAGATTAGAGGCTGCTGCTGTCCAGGGCTGAGGACGGGTCTTCAAGAGGCCCGATGGCCTCGCCCGCTTTCTCTCTAACGGACTGGGAGATGAGATGGGACCCCTTTATCCACAGGGGAGACATGGTAACTCCTCCTCCCTCCCCTCCCTAGAGAGGCAGCAGAGTGGTAGGAGGAGGGTCGGGGGGGGTGGCGAGAGCCCGCGGGCGAGCTTGCTCCCCGCGCACGCCTGTGTAGACCGAGAGGAGACACTCCCCCAGGCGACTGGTGGGGAAGGGAGCGGAGCGAGGAGCAGCCGCCTCGACGGCCGCCGCCCAGACCCGGCCCTGCCCCCTGACCTCTGCTTGAGCGCCGCCAGGTCCTCCGCCAGCCCGTCGCGCTCCACCTGCACCCTGTCGCGCTCGCGGCCCAGCAGCTCCAGCTCCCTCCGCAGCTCACGCAGCTCCTGCTGGCACAGCTGGTCGGCGCGCGCCGGCTCCTGGCCCCGGGCCTGGCTCAGCTCCCCGCGCAAGGCCGCGTTCTGCTGCTCCAGGAAGCGCACCTTCTCAATGAAGTTGGCGAAGCGGTCGTTGAGCTCCTGCAGCTCCTGCTTCTCGTTGCTGCGCGTGGCCAGGAACTCCTGGTTGAGGGCCTCGGCCATGGAAAAGTCGAGGCGCTCCGAGGGCAGGCGCAGGAGGGCGCCCGCTCCCGCCCGGGGGCCGCGGAAACTGCCCAGGCGCACGGAGGAGCCGGTGGACGCCGAGCCCAGCAGGCGACTGCTCGAGAAGCGGGAGCTGGACGCATAGGAGTAGGCCCCGGGGGACAGTGAGGGCGGTGGCCCGAAGGTGCGGCGGTAGGAGGTGGAAGCGACGCTGGCTCGGAGGCCCGACGGGTGGCTCATGGCTGCCGAGGACTGGCAGTCACCGCGGGCAGAGCTGGTCCGGGAGCTGGGAGGGAGCGGCGGACCGCTGCGAGGCGGCTTTATAGGCCTGCGGGCTCAGGGGGGGCACGGGCAGCTCCTCCCACTGGCCTGACGGCGGGTCTCTGTGGGGAGGGGGACGCCCCACCCCTGCGGAGCTGCAGGAGAGCCGCACCCTCCCTCCGAGGTTGTTGGCGCCCTGCCTACTTGATTCCCCCTGTTGCTAGCCGGGAAGGAAGTGGCCCTGGCGACCACCCGCAGGCCTGGGCTGGGGGCTCAGCTGGATGGATCCTTCCAGCAACCTACAGAGCGGGGAGCCTAGGCCGGGAGGGCCTGACTGGAGCTGGGGTTCCTGCCTGCAAGAGCTGGTAAAAATCGATGTACAAATGTAGAATCATTATCCACCTGAAATTAATATGTTAGGTCAGTTATACCTCAGTACAAAAAAAAATGCGGGGATAGGAGGCCTGAAGGTTAAAGGGCAGGCTGCTGGCTCATGAGCGGTGAGGACGTGGCCCCGGAGAGTTGGCCTGGCTTAGGCCCTGGGGCCTGTGCCCCCACTTGTTCCCTGAAGGCTAGGCCCTGCTTTTACCTGCTGTCAGCTACCCCTGTTACCACACCCAGGGAGAAATAGGGGACAGGAGGGCCGAGGGAGCCAAGGAGGGTGGGGAAGGGCTGATCCTTCCGTAATCCCCAGGGCCCAGTGGAGGTCTGCTGCCTGGCGCCAGTTCTGCTGCTAATGGACTGGCCATGTCCCCTCCCCCTCCTCTGGACACTTGGCCAGGGGGTTGCCTGCTGATGTCTCAGCCTTAAAGACACAGCTCCCAAAGCTGGACATACAGCAGGCCCCTGCTGGGTGGGCCCGGCAGAAGGTGCAGAGGGTGGCTGGGCCCAGCTCGGGGGTCCCACACGGGAGGGTGGGTGCCCTGCCAGGGGCTGAGCTGAATGAGGTGGTTGTCCGCCGTCTGGCTTTCCTGGATTCTCCCTTCCCCCAACCAACTGCTGCTCAGTCATGGGCCTTACGGGAACCAGAGCGATTCCTGAGGTAGGAAGGGGAGGGGGCTGAGGGGCGGCAGCGGCTGCCAAGGCTGAGGCATGAAGGGACTGGCAGGAACCGGTTACCAGTATGGAGGAGTTGCAGGTACCCAGGGACGGGTAGGGCTGGATGGGGAAGAGATGGGGAAGGAGAAAGTGCCCATTGCTAGTGGTCCAGGGACTGAAAGAGGAGAGAGAAGGCCCCAGAGCAGATCCACAAGCCTATGCACACAAACAGATGCATCCGCGTAATGTAGCACGACCTCACCTATACGCACACACATCATACACACACAACCACACAGCCCATCCGGCCCTCCCCCGCCCCAGTTATCGGGAAGGCTGACGTCTGGCCTTTGCATGTCTGCGGCTTCCAGAACTCAGGCACAGGCCGCCCCGGAGTGGACAGAGGCAGCTCAGGTGGTCTGCAGGAGCCAGGCTGCTGAAGCCCGTTGGATTTGCCAAGAGCCAGGGGGCTGCTGCTGCCGCGGACTCCAGGGCTTTCCAGCACGGACAGGTCCACCTCAGACAGGCCCTGAGGACCAGAGCTGGGCATCTGGGGAAGCAGGTTTGGGACTCCAGGCTGGATCTCTGGGTGAGGGGGAGAGGAGGGCGGCTCCTTGGCCAGCCAGCTCCTCAGCATTGCAGGGCAGGGGAACCTCCCCTCCTTTGTGTGTCCTCTGAGATGGGCCAACGCCCGCCCGCTCGCATCTACTGCCTTCCTTCATCTCCTCTCCAGGCCCCTCCTTCCTTCCGGGCCATTAGTCTCTCCCTGCACAGCTGCCAGGTCCTTCTCCTTGATGGATCTGGTTTGGTTGCCAGGGGAATGGGAAGAGGGAGGATGGGAGGGGGGGACAGGACAGACAAACCTGGGCTTGTCCCCCTGACTTCTAGGAGTGGGGAGGAGTAGGGTCTGGCTTGGGCAGTGGGTAGGGGCTTGGTGGCTGTGTGTGTATATGTCAGGGTGGGGCAGGATGCTGGGGAAACTTTGGTGCTTTCTGCCATAGCCCTAGGCTCTGAGACCCCAGCTGCCATTGGCCAGGACCCCCATTTACCCCAGCCTAGGCCCTGGCCCATCCTTGTCTACTGTCCATAGGGAGCAAACTGGGAGTCTGAGCTGGTCCTTCCAATACTGTCTTTATACTGAGCTGCTGGTAGATTTGGGCCTTTGAGAATCACATAGAGGCCCCTTGGGCTGGGATCAGGCAGTTCGAGGTGGAGTTCCCACCTCTTCGCTGCTTAAGCTCCCAGCTCAACACGCAGGTACCTCAGAGGAGAGGGGACCAGAGCCTCCTCGGCAGGGCTCTGGGAGCTGTGGAGGGAGTGAAGCCGGGGCCTGGGTAGGGGAACCAGGCAGGCTAGCAAGTCAGAGAAGACTCCTCCCCCTTACTCAGAAAGAGCTGGGCCTGGGAGATCTTAAGGCCAGAAGAAAGGTAAGAAAGGGTCATGGTTGAGAGCCAGGGCTCCGGCATCCAGTGGCCAAGCCTCCCATCTGACTCCAACATTCTGTGTTGTAGGAATACAGGCAGGAATTTACAATGTCCTTCCATGTCCCGCAGTGAAATGTAGATCATCGTAACTTCTACCTCACACTGTTGGTGGGAGGATTCAATACTTAGGACACATACGATAATGGCTGAAATGTAAGTTAGTCTTACTATTATCATTACTGACTGCCCAAGTGATGCTGTCAGCTGCCGAACGCGGTGAGGATCTGGACTTCTTTTGGATTGCCCCCGCTAGTGGCTGAGAGCAGTTCTGGACCCAGGGTAGAAGGAGCCAGGTACTGCCTGGCTGATCTTTCCTCAATGTACTGACGAAGACATGGACTCTGGGCAGACTGCCTGGGTCCTCAGTTTAATTAGCTGTGTGCTTTTGGGTCTGCGTGAGTGTCTTCACCTCTGTTCGCTCCATTTTCTTTGTTCACAAATGGGGCAATGAGAATTGTACCAACCTGTGCTACGGGAGGGTTAGCTGAGTTACCGTATATGAGGCACTCAGTGCTAATTTGTGCTGGTAAGTACTAGCCAGTATTAGAAATACTCGCCCCCTTCTGCTGCTCTGGTGAAGGCTTGGAGGGGAATGACAGATGCGTTCAGAGGTTTGCAAGGAAGGTGATCAATGAAGTTTACTGGCAAGAGTGATGCCAAATGGCAGGCCATGGACTTAAAGCTAGGTGAGGAAGGGGTGTGTGGGCAAGAGAGGATGGGAGATTGGGAGAGTAAAAAGGCCGATAGCTGGCCTCCTGGGCAAGGTCAAATAACACTCCTCGTACAGAGGAATTGAAAGAGGCATGGGGTGGGGGGGAGTGGGCAGTAGGAAGTTTTTTCAGAGAGTGAGATGCAGGAATTTGTGATTCTGGAGCTGTGGTATTTATGAATGATAAGATTCCCAGAGTGCTTTTAAGGAAGTGGGCAACGGAGGCTAAAGTCGAATGAAGGAAAAGGTCATAGGAGAAGAGATCAGCCCACCAGCCTGGGCACTTCTGAGCTGTGTGACCCTGGGCAACTTACTTGTCCTCTCTGAGCTTTTGTTTCTTCATCTGTAAAATAGGGATAATGACCCCTCCCTCCCTGGGTGTTGTGACATCTAAGTGAGATCTAAGTACTTCATGTATTACTTGTACACGGAGTAATTATCATGTCATGAGGCTCACAGCAGGTGCTCAGCACCTGATGGCCTTCTTCCCCTGCTCTGTGATGGAGAGGAAACTGAGACACAGAGGAGCCATGCCATAGCCCTAATTACTTGTAACTAAGTGTCAGCTGGGGTCCCCCTGCCCTTCGGAACCCTAGGGCTGGCTCGACCTCCAGTCCACATCCTGGGGGTAGTCCAGTGTCATCCTCAAGATCTCTTTGCCTTCCTAGGGCTTCCCCTTTACACCCCTAGCTCCAAGTCCTGCTGCCCCTGAACTAGCTGACTCTCCAGCCGACTCTCCACAGTGCCCGGATGTGGGACTTGGCACCATCCAGTGGTTCTGTGGTCTCTGTCCCCATCACTTAGGTAGAACTCAAGGTTCAGAGGGACAAAGTTGCCTGTCTGAGATTGCACAGCAAGCTAGGAGTGGCTCCCTCTGCAGGAAGGCACATCCTGGTGGGTCAGGCGCTGCTGATGTCCTCTGGACTCTGGCCCCATAGAAGCCAAGAGGAGCCTCAACCACAATCATTCCAGCTACACACTTCTCAAAGTGGCTTCTCTCCCAGGCGACTGGTCCAGCCACAGGGTCCCCACTGACGAAGTGACTGCACCAGTGGAATCCCTTCCCCATTATCTCCATCTGGGGCCTCCACTCCTCCCAGTTAGAGGGCACTCTGGGTGTCTTTTCCATCCTACCCCTTTTCTCACTGTATCGGACAGTAATAGCTAACATTTCCTATGTGGCATACATTCTACACACATTATCATTTTTAATCCTTCGAATCACCCTACAACATAATGACTATTATGATTCCCGTTCTACAGTTGAAAAAGCTGAGGCCCAGAGAGGTTAAGCAACTTGCCCAAGGTCACACAGCTAGTAAACTAGCACCAGTCTGTTTATATGTCTGATTCCCCCATCCCTGACAATATGATCTTTGAGGTCATGGATCAGGTTTTAGTCACCTTTGTGACTGTGGAGTATAGCATAGGATCTAGGTCAAATAATGTTGGTTAAACTGAAGGGGAACTCTGAGGCACCTGAAAAAACATCCTTCCCTTGAGAGGTGGTCCAGAAAATAGAGAGAAATGTGTTGCTGCCACCTTCTGGTCAGAAGCTAGAATGACATGTCTGCAGTCGGTACATCTAAGACTCCTGGTTCGTGGAACATTGAAATTTGGGGAATTCACCGTTATTGGACCTTCTTTCTACAGCTGAGAAAAATTCATAAGGGTGTGTAAAATAGAACAGCAACACTGGTATTAGTTCAGAACCCTGACTCCATTCTTCACCTATCTCCAGGAGCTGCCCCGGC